GATAAGCAGAGGCAGGCTGTTTTGCAAGCGCGGTGAAAAGCGGCGACCGCTGCTCGCTGCTATCCGCGCGGCGTCTCGCTTCTACTCGCGGCGATTTCGCGATGCACGCGCATCGCCGATCGAAGCGAGTAGGCGACGATCCGCGCGCGGCGTCTCGCTTCTACTCGCGCGGATTTCGCGATGCATGTGCATCGCCGGTCGAAGCGCGCGGCTCGATGCGCACGCGCTCGCTCGAGTTGCACAAGTGAAAGAGGCCTCGGAGCGCCGCTTGTGCGCCTCCGCGGGGACGTGTTTACTCGAAATGTCAAGGATGCAACCGCGTGCACTCGGCGAGCCGAGCCACCGGAGACAATGACGGCCCCAGGCACCGGGAATTGTTATTTTGTCACGGATCGGCTTCGATCGCCGCGGCGCGCCGCGGACGCGGACAGCCCACGAGAGAGCAAACGCTCGCGCGGATATCTTCTTCTTCTTCTCTCCACGTTCATCCTTTGTGTCCCGCGATCGCCAAGGGATAATAATATTTTCTTTTTCTGTTAAATTAGTTTCGCGAAAGTTAAATTGGCATCGCGGATGCAACACTTGCAGCGCTCGCGATTTTATCAATCTCTGCCGTTTCGTTATCGCCGGAGTGCTTTTGTTGGTTTCTTATCTTCGCAGATGAGTTCTTCGCGAGCTTATCGCTGATCATCGTGAGTTATGCTACTATGTATTGACTATTTATAGAAATCTATTTTAATCGCCAATGTGTCATTTTTGAGGAAAACAACGCGTTCGGTGAGAATGGTTTTCGATTGATTTTTAAGAGCACGCGATGCGCTCGGACTCGATCGAAATCGAAGGAATTGTCTGAAGGCGACATTGAAGGTGTTATTAAACTCTTTGTAATCGGAGCTGTTCGAATTCGAAATCGAAAACATGATTTCTGATCTACAGTATTTCTATTTTGTACAATTTATTGCGATTTATGCGTATGAAATTGAGCCTGTTGGCAAGTACAATGCAATTTTAATAGCTTTTTTAAAATATAAACGAGTCTGATGCGTCAATTAGGGAGAGTTCACTGTACAGTAATGTCTCTCTTATTGACGCTTAGATCGCGCACAAATATGGACAATTTGGGGAGAGGTACAGATACGATTATTCCAGCCTCGCGGCTTTGTTTTTATAATTACGAATCGTCAACAACTATAAAAGCGAGCCAAAAAGCTCGAACAATCGTGTCACTTCTTCCCAAATTGTCCATTTTCGCGTACAATCTGAGCGTCAATTAGGGAGACATTGCACAGTGCGTCGAATAAGTTTCGAGACTCGGACCATATCTCGGTAACTAATAGCGCTATCTATGTTCTTAGACCGGCGTTTGAAAGCTGCGATATTCCTCTTTCCGGCAGTATCAATTTTGGGTCCGATCGGTCGATAAATAGCAAAGTTATAACAATTCTCCCTAACATGGAACAAAGAGCGATTATTAAATTTCACGGAAAACTCGGTGAAAATGCATCGGAAACATTCCGATTGATGCAGCAAGTGTACGGCACCGATTGTTTGAGTAGAGCAAATGTTTTTCCGTGGCACAAACGTTTTTTGGAAGGCAGATAGAGAGGGTAGAAGATGATAATCGCGAAGGAAGGCCTACTACAATCTGAGCGTCGATTAAAGAGAGATTCACTGTACTCGTTTCAGTCAACTGTTGATCTAACTCTTAACTTGGCATTACTTCAATGCCTCGACCATAACAAAATATTGGAGTGAGAAGAGGAGATACGATTATTCGAGTCTTGCAGCTTGTTTTTATAATCATTGACAATTTATAACTATAAAAACGAACCGCAAGGCTCGAATAATCATATCTCCTCTTCCCAAATTGTCCAGTTTTGTGAGCGTCCGTTAGGGAGACATTACTGTAATACCATAACGAGTGGCCAAAAGTTTCAGAACAACGTCAAATTGCGAACACTATCATCATCGACAAATAAATCGATCGACGTAGGAAGTTCTGCTTAACTTGATTCAAAAATCAATCTGGCCGTCAATTAGGGTTACAATATCGTACCGCGCCAGCGAATTCGTACATTTTTATTCCACAATGCCGCGTTTCAGGCGCAACATTTCCGTTCACTCAACAAATTCGTCTATTCTCTCGTACTCTTAGTTCAACGATCGTTAAAAACCGAGCAAGAACACCGCGGAACAGCAATTTCACGAAATTGGCAGTTCCCCGTAATTTCTGATTTTCCTTCGATTTAACAATAGCTCGAGGAGAGAAACGCGCGGCGGCAATGCGAGCAAGCAAGCTAGCAAGCAAGCAACAACCTGCTCGATCGAAATGGAAGCAACAGGAGTTCGACCGCGGCAAAATAGAGGTTCACCTTCACCGATCGCGCGATATTCGATTTATCTCCACTAATCAAAGTCTTTCTCCTGCGAGCAGTTTATCTTTGAAAAACTGCAACGCTGTAGGCGCGCGCGCGAGTGCGCGGGGCGCGAAGAATGATTGCAAACTTTCACCCGTACAGAAAACTCTGCGAGCGCCTTGGCCCGCAGAGAAAATGTTATTAACGTGTAATACAAATGTTACCGATTTTCTTCGCCTGGTAATTTCTTACGCGTGCTCTGACGAAATCCCGCGACACGCGATACCCCGCGCGATGAACGTGCGCGCCCGAAAGATTACCGCGAGCGTCTCTAAAGAGCAAGTTCGCCGCGATTCATCGCCGTTTGCGATCGCTCCGAGCGATCGTTTCTCTTTCTCTCTCTCTCTCTCTCTCTCTCTTTTGTGGCAAGAGAAGAGGGTAAAAAAATCAGCCGCGAATGCACGGCGCGTTCGAGGGCCGCGCGGATCGACGAAATACGTGTCCGCGTCCGCGCGATTCGCATCGAGCGTATCTGGATTCGCCATCGATAATTAATCGCCGCGGAGAGGCCGCGGCTCGACGCGTTGCGTCACACGAACGCACACAATAGAAACGCAATGATCTACGCACACGCCGCCTCGCGTATAAGGCTTAATGCCACCGGATTAGACAACGGCCTCTCTCGGCCGCCCTGTTAATGGCAACGAGCGACATTGTTGGCTAATGATCGTCGGGAAAATTCGCGGGCCGGCCCCGGACAGACTTCGTCCCGCTGTTGCGACACGTATCGAACGCGAAACGACACGCGAGTGCTCCCGGCACGCGGCGAGTCACGCGTTTTTTTCCCGACTCGAGGTGATTTTTTGCGACAGTTCGAGTTGTTCGCGAATCACGCGGCGTATCGAGCGCGTTCCTCCGCGATGATAACGAGTGTCAACGGTCTGATTGAACCGCGTCCGGTATCTAGGCGGACAAGGCGAACGTTTTGACGCGTCGACGAGCCGAGACAGACTGTCTGTCTCGTCGCGGAACGACGGAGCGGACGCTTTTATCTGTCGCGGCGTTTTTTTATTCGATAAGAAGCGAGAGGTGCCGCGTCTTGCGAATGCAACGCGTTTTATTGCGACCACGTGGAACAACAACTGCGAAATTTAGATCGAAAACTGGGCAGAAATTGGTTTAAGTGGCCGCGACGGTCGCTTTTGCGCTATTTTTTATAGCTGAATCCCCCCGTGTCCCCCTGCAGATTGTATTAAATCAGATGCGATTAAATTTTAATGCTAACGATAATTGTGTATTGGGTCGTTCGGAAAGTTGTATCGCTTTTCAAGAAAGCTCTTGAGCTAGTATTTTGTTAATAATAAACGGAACCTTTGCGGGCGTAAGATTTGAAAAATGATAGGAAAATGTTGAACGGTTTCTTTTTACTCGAATCGTTAAATAGTATTTAACTTATCGTTAAATAATATTAATTTAATATAATTATTTAATATAATTTAATATAATTATTAAGTCTTAAGTTTAATATAATTATTAAATATTATGATTAATAATATTAATCGTTAAATAGTATTTAACGATTCTAGTATTTTGTTAATAATAAATGGAACCTTTGCGAGCGTAAGATTTGAAAAATGCTGGGAAAATGTCGAACAGCTTCTTTTTACTCTAATCGTTAAAAATTCGTCGCTCGTTTTCTCGTGTAAGAAGGAAATAAGGTTTCGAACGAGCCAATATTTTGTGAAGAAATTGCGAATTTATCGATAAATGCGATTTTACGATTTTCGTAAAAGATAGCTAATTATTTCGAGTAATCCTTTGATATTTTTATTCTGGATTCACTCGACGCAGGAATATATGAGAAACTTTGTATACGAAACGAAACAAGGCCAAAGTAAAACTGCTGCTGTAAAGCTACGCTAATCATCTATAAACAAAGCTGTGCTAAACTAAGCTTTGTGCTGTGACAAGTAAACTGCTGATTTGATGCGTTCATGACAAAAATGAACAGGTCGAAAAAATGACGAAAATGATAAAAATGAAACTGCAGAAAGGAACAGAAAAATGTAAGGATATTAATACATTACGTTACTAAATAAAATACGTTAGGATGTTACAAGGATATTAATACATTACATTAAAATCACTATATTAAGTAATACATTACATTGAAATTAATTACATTACATTATCTTCAACTTATTACAATTATCGAAAGATACAATCCATTCTCAGAAAACCTATGTTTCTTACAATTAACTTGGACAATTTTAATCAGTTTAGTCATAAGCACAGAAGCTCTTATGCTTCTCACAATCAATTTGAACAATTTTAATCAGTTCAGTCATAAGCACAGAAGCTCTTATGTTTCTTACAATAAATTTGAACAATTTTAACCAGTTCAGTCATAAGCACAGAAGCTCTTATGCTTCTTACAATCAACTTGAACAATTTTAATCAGTTCAGTCATAAGCACAGAAGCTCATCAAAGCACCAAACAACGAATTAATAGCAATTACACTCCCTGGCATTTTTCAATCTTATGTCATCAAAGACCCATGACCCTCGATCGCGTTAACAAAGTATCTCTTCGATCCCGAGAGTTCGCAATAACCTCGACAAATTCTTTGTTCCATCGAACAGATCGATTGCCGCGGCGAGCCGGCGACGGTTTCGGATCCCGAGAACATCCGGTGGTCCTGGTCGACTCGGACCTATCCCGTCTCCCGCTGCCGGACTTGGTGTTGTCTGCGGTCGAGCAGGTCGAGCAGCTTCCGGCCGCGACGCCCCAGGTGACTGTGTCCGCGCCGAGCAGCCCGACGAGGGACGCTGCCTTCCAGTTTCCGGAGTGCAGCAACGACGAGGCACCGGTGCCTAGCCCGAGGCCACGGCCGCGAAGACGCAGGCTCGTCTCGGAGGGCAGCGGAGCCGTGAAGAAGGGGCCCGTCGGCGAGCTGACCTGCAACAGTTGCTGCGGCCACTTCGGCCAGGCCTTCAACGAGAGCCAGTGGGCGAGCGTGGGTGCCAACCTCAGGAACATCGCCGACGACTTCCACGCATCCAAGACCAAGGTCAGTGCACGATTTTTTAACGAATGTGGAATTTATCGTAACGGCGCTCTTTGAAAATGACGACACGGATTTTTACTCTTTGTTTGTTGGTATACTTGTAGGAACTGTACTAATAGGTAACGCGCGCAGTGATTTGTTGGCGTGTTATTTGGATGTAGAGGGTGTTCGAAAATAATTGGTCAATATTTGTGTGGTACAGAGGGTGCATTGTACTGAGTAAAAAAGAGTTAGGAAACGTAGGTCGAAGGGTGAGAAGGGTGTTTTTGAGATATTAACATTTTTGTTTATGTGTATTATTTTTATATATTAATTGTCGGGTCACTCAGTTTTTAATTTACGATTATTCGTGTCGTAAAGATACATTTATGAGTTGTTTGTTCAATTTATATTTTATTTATGGCAATCAGAATAAAGGGCTTATTGATATTTGTATAAACTGATGTAAAACAGCTGTTTTTTAGGCTTTGTAAAGACATAATATCTTTTTTCAAGTTGAATATTGAATATTGAACATTTCAAATTGAATATTGAATATTGAATGTTTCAAATTGAACATTGAATATTGAATTTATCAAATTGAATATTGGATATTGAAT